GCTGCGGTCCAACTGATATCTGCAAGTACGAGTATGCGTGCACAGACACTTAACTCCGTGTGCCAGCAGGACAGAGATGATTTTGTCCATTTTACCCCTCTCCCCTGTGGCATCAGGTTATTACTTGTTGCCACAGGGGAGATGATATTGATGCCATATGATACCTAAAGCAATATATTCAGTCACCTCGAGACATAATAAACCGTGTACCTGCAGACATCAAAATAAACACAAGTACTAGAAATACACGGGTGCAAGTACAAACATGAAGTCAAAGGACTCACAATCGTGCACAAAGAGCTGGTTATGTGCTCCGGTCCAGCATTTTAATGCTGTCTCAGCCCAAAGCTACAGTGTAACAAATCTAAAACATGGCGTACAAAAATGAAATTTCCTGCTGTTATTGTTTTAAAGTGGTAATAAATTAAACTTATATGTGTTCTTCCTGTGGCAATACATTGCATAGGTAGCAGCAAGCTTCCTGTCTGATTTATTATGGCTTTTAAACAAAATGCAGCCTGAAGGGAGGGGTGATTGCTGGCCCCGCTTTGGGTCTCCATCTCCCAAAAGACTTTTCTCCATCCCTGCCTCCAGGTGGTAGAGCACGATGCTGGGCAATGAGTGCATTCAGCTGCCCTTAAGTGAGAGTGAGAGGCCGATCCCATGCCGGGATGTTTAACGCCATCAGACTGCTGGAGGGTTTCACACAAGAAGTAGTGCATTTCTCAGGCGATTAAACATCACCCTGCTGCAGAAGGCGTCAAGGGTATATATATGTAGGACTTCTGTTGGTATCGGCACATGTTAAATGCATCAACGTGAGAATGCTATGCACAAACACTCGAATATAGGGGGCCCCGTGCTCCCATTTAGTGTGCTAATGACCTGTTCTTATCTCATGGAATCTAATCTGACTGCACAACCAGGGGTTTGACCTCGTGGCATCACATACAAGAACACCACAGACTCTCACAGATGCATTAGGCACACTGAAGGTGCTCAGTCCTCACGTATAGCAGAAAACAAGCATAGCACACATAAAGCAACATATTTTTAACACCCATTCATTCAGCAGAGCCATCGCTGGTTGCTGACTCAGGTTTATTTATAGTCATTTTCAGGCTGGTACTCGCCAAAGTGCTGGCAGACTTTGTGCCCCCTACTAAGTATCAGACCTGTTAAACAGCTTTTAAGCGCAATTTGCTTAGATGACAATACACTCCTTTCTCGCGGGACACATGCTGTCCCCACATGATTCGAATTAGTCGGGGCACCTTAGAGGTGTTGTGCTCATGTGTAAGTAATGAACGCCTGTGTACGCAAATGCTTGTGCACGTCTGTGTGCGTGTGCTGCTTGAGTGTGCGTTGAGGGTGTAGGCGGGTGTTAATTGCAAACACCTGAAGCTCGTAAGCAGAGCTGCATTTAGTGACAGTTTGACTTAACAACGGCTGGCCGTGCTGTATCTGTGAGCACACAGAGGAGGAGCCCAGTGCTGCTGCCTTTAGGAGGACGCTGGAGGTAAATGTCTCTGAAGTGAAAGCCTGAGGGACATTACCATTTACAGTTAGTGGGTCTGCTGGCCTTCACAATACTTTACTACTTTTTTTTTTTCATTAGAGGAACATCTTTCAACTAAAAAGTGTCAACCAAGACTTCTGCATCATCCTATCCAACGCTGCTGCAGAGCTGCTGCCCCCTGTTGGGCTCCTGGCCTCATGCTTAGTGAAAGGTGAGCACCCTGATGTGGAGGGCATGGGCACGGACTTAATGGCAGAAATGCCACTCATGCAGTGTGGTAGTTTGTGTCTCACACGCATACAAGCAGAAATACCTTGGCCTGTGATCCTGTTGGTAAGAGAATCAAGTTTCAAGCGGTGAGAGTTGGTACCAAAGGGGAGAAGATGGTCTTATCTTACAGTGTCGCGTTGAGAGAGAGAGGAGCCCCCCGCCCTTCCCGTCGGCCCCTCAAAGGCTCCGAGACAAACTCAGAGTTGCACGACACACGCAGCATAGGACCACGTGTGACCACGACATGAAGCCCAAACCCTCGTCCAAGGACGCAAACAAATGCGCGATACTTTTCATAAAAACGTGCAAAAAGAAGAAGAAAATCAAGCATTTATTTTCTGGAAATCCCTCCTTAGAAATAAACACATTTTTATAGAGAAATGTTAACAAGTCTGTGTTGAGCAATCAAATCGCTGAGATGTGAAGAAAAAAAAAAAGATGTCCACAAGCATTCTATTGCATCAAAGCCCCAATAAACAAAATAGCCTTTTGTTTCGACAAAAACAAACCACCACATCTAGAGAGGACTTTAAATAGACTCCTGAAGAGCTCTTATGGATCGTATCAGTGCCAAAACCACTCGATTATGCAGCAGTTTACGAGATTTATAGGAAAATGAGGGGCAACGTGTGACACAATAATAAGATCTAATGGAGTAAAAACATCTCCTCTGCATTTCTGTGTGTGCTGCATATCTCTTATTTAAAAGTGCTTGGAGTGGAACTGCATTCAATAAGTTTATATATAATAAACCTAAAACCTATATTAGCAGTATCGGTATCTCCTCTAACCCAGCAGACAGCACCAACAAGCTTTTCTCAGCAGAGCACGCTTCTGGATGGAAAGCACAAAGTGTTGAAAGCGGGCCAGAAATTCCCCTTGTGAATGCTTTCACCTGTTCTTATTGTTGCACAGCTATTCACACCCAGAAACACTGAGAAAGAGAAGAACAACAACAACAAAAAGAAGAACCACGCAAGGCAATTTCCCAAATCTGCAATAAGCACCTTGAAAACTCTACTTCTGGCTTTACCTCTTTACACAAAAAAGCAAGAAAAGAAAGTGTGTCCAAGCAGGAACTGTGGCCAGATTCTACTAGAGTTGCAAGTTAAAAAAAAAAGAAAAACAAAAAAAGAAAACTGGAATGTCATGAATGCCAACTTCAACACACTCACACATCCTGTTGCTGCTAGCCAAAAGATTTCTGTCAATAAAGAACAGTTTCCCCTCTAAAAGCTCCGTGTAAACCAGCACTGAGCAGCAGCGTACTCCAGCTGATGTTTATGCATCACTCTTGGCACGCAAGTCGCACCAAACTGCAGTGTAATTAGAAATCAAAGAAATACCTTATATCTTTCTTTAATTCAGAGGTATACTGGGGGAGTGTGTGTGTATCATGATGTGGATCACACACTGTTCTCCACACCAGGAACTATCACTGGCCCTGTAATGAACACCACACGCCAAAAGTGGCCAATCTTGGCACAGGACTGCTCAATCTATTAAAGTGGCATGAGGCTGAAAGGCTCAGGGATGGACATCCCAGTCCCACTGATCTGTCCCACTGATCTGCTCAGTGTTGAGCTCTGCGGGCCCTACCCCAGGCTTTAGGGGGCTGTAATCCTCCACATGTGCCCACACATACACACAGACATAGAGTCCGAGGGGGGCTGCCAAAAGCTTTTGCAAGCTCAGTCGTTAACGTTTACCTGAGAGTGGAGGGTTTTAGTGTTTTGCTTATGTGTTTTGGTAGGTGGTATTTAAGGTACAGACACACAGGTACCTGGAGGACAGGAGCACTCTTGGCCAACATCCCTCGCTGGCCGCACTTTTGGCGTCAGAGCTACCACTTTCTGCAAAGAAAGAGCAAATTCCAGTACGTTATAAATATGCATGAATGCACTCAGTTGCAAAATAGTACCGTTTCACTAACTCTAACAGTTCCTTGAGAATGAGATTTCAGTTTAATTTAAATGGGAATAAATTGGGATTAAGAGAACAAAATAATGTTATCAAGATATCTAAGTAACAGTTATGAGATCATGATCTTTCTGCTGTTATATGCAGCTCCAAATGAGAAGAGTTTGCTTAATTTCTTTTCTATGTGATAACATTTTAGTTTGGTGTCTATCATCAGCGGTTATGTCACTCCATAAAGCGCCGTAACCGCAAACTAATTGGCCAGCTGCATGTTGCCTTTCAATTCCTTACACTGTGCATTAACTGATTTTGGGGTGGTGGTGGGGAGGCAATTAGGGTACAACTGCCAACGATTGCCAAGTCTGCCTGCGCACACTACACATGTTCTGCGTTATTGCGCAAAGTTTGGGCACGGGGAGCAGACATCCACACGCATAGCACATGTATTTATCAACGACAATCACTGCGTATCCACAACAGACACGTACCTCTTCCACGAGCTTTCCTATTGGGGTGCTCAACTCTGAAAGTAGGGTCCCATCCTCGTTTACGAACGCCCTTTTCGGGTGTTGGAAGATGGACGCCTTGTCCAACTCCATCTGCAGTCGGTTCTCCAGCTGATAGGTCTTCAAGCTCATCAGAAGACACACGGTGATGGAGCTCATCGACATCAGCAAGCACAGAGCGATGGGGAAACCTGGCACCCATCGCTGGCTCCGGGACTTGGGGGTACACTGGCACACCGGCTTACTTTCTCCGATAGAGTCGCCGACCGTATCCATGGTGCGATCCTACTTCTAAGTCCTCTTGCTGAACAGAAATGGCCAAAATACTTTGTGTTTGGCGTTGTTAAAATATAAACCGTATTCAGGCTCCAAGTTCGAACTAAACGCACTCACTTACACTCCGCCACAGCGCAGTGCGCTCGGGGTTCAAAGCGCTGACTGAAATTAGTCCTGGAATAAGAGGCAGCAGCGGCGCGCACCGGGTTTGCACCAGATGGGAGTAATCTGGATGCCACAGAAGACGCGCCTCCAGACTTCCAGGACGTTGTTTTCTGTTGAGTATCCTACATGCACGTGCAAGTGCAACTGCCCACCTAAAAGTTGCACATTCAACTAGTCGAGATGCGCCCGCCCTGAAGACCACGTGGGAGGCTTTAGATTGACAGCTGTAAATTAAACAGATTTGGCCAGAACAATTGAGATCAGTCAGGAAAATTCGGATTGGTTCCTGTGACTTAAATAAAAATGAAGAATATATTATAGTAGTAAACTCTTCCAAGCCAATGCAGTCCATTTTATTTAAAATGAGAGCGGCAGCAGAGGATGTTCAGGAGATATGAGGGTGCTGAAGGCTTGTTTTTGTCCATCTCTAATACAAAACAGGATCATTTACAAAGGAGAAAAAGAATCTGCACAGTCTTTAGTGCTGAACCAGTTACTGTCCTTTAATCTTAGAGGACAAAATCATTGCTTTAAAAGGGCTTTTTAACTAGTTTGAGATGCAAGTTGATCCTGTAAGTCTGACAGTGATCAGGGTTAGGTCACAGAGGCAGGCTGAAATCCTCGAACAATCTTCACTTAATATCCCCCCTTTTATTAGTAGGACATCGCGCTAAGATGGACACGAGGCTCTGGTTCAGCTCAAGCTGCTACAACGGGCTCTAGTATAATGGCCTCAGACGGTTTAATCTTTTCAGTATTTTAGCTGTTTGGCGCCATCATGAGGATAAATGCAACTACTGCCATCCATGTGCAAAATCGATTCAAACTCAATAGTTTGTGATCTGTTTATTGAAAATGTATTTCACAAAAATTTACATAACCATTCAGTGGGAAAAAACGAAACAAAAACTACAAAACAAAAAACAAGCTTAGTACTATGTAAAAGATTTTTCTGCCCCAATAATTTGTGTGTTTTATTTTATTTTTTAAAACAGCAACCCTAAATAAATTACACAAGACACTGAATGATTAAGAGATTCTCAATCTGTTCATTCACCAATGACCTATATCCCATTGCAAAAAGAGAACACTGACCAATCTGGACTTCAAAAAAAAAAAAA